ATATATTACGTACATTACATAATAACCTACATTTGATTTGATATTTAACAACTCTTTCAGAGTTTATGTTTACCACGCAGCTCTTTAAATTAAGCTGTCGCAAATTATCTTCATGATTGAAGTGCTGTTAAGCAATATTAAGTTAGTGCTCCTTTGTACCACAGTGAAAGTCGTGGAGAGAATTTTTGACCTTGGGTGAAAAAGATGCAGCTGGATCCACAGGATGGACATCATGGCCGATAATGAAACGAGGAGTGTGATTCAAGTTATAAAGCTGTGGTGTGCCGTAAACTTGTATTATGGAGACTGACACATGCAGATCAATCTCCAGCAAGCTTACAGAACACCACAGATTTATAACTTTAATCCCAGATTCCTTTTTTCATTGAATTGTGTGTGCTCCTCGGATGATTAGCGAAACGTCTTCAGTTTTAAAAAAAGTCCTGTGGTTTTGTTTTTATCTGTTTTGGGGGGGATTTGCCGTGTCAAGGATAACTGAGAATCTTCACCAGCATTGTTACAGGTAAAAAACAATTACTTCACTTATCCTACACTATTGACGTAAAAAAACACTGTAAGCACTTCACTTTTGATGATCAGATGGAAGCTCAAGACTTGAAAATGTTTCTTTTATTAGAAATAAAGACCTGTACAAAAAAAACCAATTATACACTAATTATATATGCAAACTTAACAAGCTACGTTTGGCTATTTGTGGGCTTACCTTGCAGGATCTACATTTCTATAGATCAACTATGATCTACTCTAAATATTTTTAAACATGTCTGTTTGCCATGGAACGGGCAATGGATTCCAGCACCCCAAGGAGTGCCTGACTGAAAGCAGCACTCTGTTCAGCCTCCTGCCTTCGCTGTGCTGCTTCCTCTCTGCGAACATCTGCTTCCTCTCTCCTCAAGGCCATCTCCTCCCTCCTAATTGCCTTCTCCTGCTTCCTCGCTGCTGCAGCTTCTTCTTGCCTTGCTTTTTTGGCATCCTCACAAATAAAATGGAAGTGTTTCTCTCTCTGCTTCTGGTTCATCTCCTCTTGTTCTGTGTGCGCAGAAACAAAGCTCTCTGCTGCACTTGTTGATCTGCGCTTCCTATTGCCTAGGAATAACACACAAGAAAATGGCTGTTAGATGATGAAGTACAGGTAGAGTTTTTAAATAAATTATTTACATTAAAGTTCCTGCTAATTTCAAAAGGTGTTTGTTTACAAGATCAGAAATGATTCTGTTCATAAAGCAGTCTAGTACTTTAATGATAGTAAGCAGGTGGGCATAAATAAACTACATGTAGTCATTTACAACGGTTTGTGCTAATTTAGAAAAAGAACAGAGCATCGTTAATCTGAACAAAAATCACTACACCCTGTATAATTTCAATAATAAACTTCATAAATGAAAGTTTAAGTAATAAATGAATAACTAAATTTAGCATTTATCCATTACAACTGAATAAACAAGTAGTTTGAATACATGCAAGGTGTTTTACAACAAAAACAAAACAACATTCATATCGACACGATCAATGTGATGTTAAACACGATTGTTGCTTCTTACCTAGTAACGGGTGCTGTTCGGTGCCGCTCTGCTGCGTGTTGCCCGATGGTGTGGATGTGCCCGGTGGCGTGGATGTGCCTGGTGGCATAGATGTACTCTGTGGTGTAGATGTACTTGGAGCTGGTGTGGTCGGGAAGGGTCAGAAGCGGGGAGGATTGGACAGTCAAAAGCAGAATCTGGCGAACCTTCATCTTCAGTGGGACTTTCTGCATCAAAATAAGAGTGGAAAAACAGCAACAGAGTACAGTTAGCAATGATGCTAACTAATGACGACGTAACCGCGTCTGCCTCGTTTGTTCAGAGTACTTTCAGAAAACGCAAAGAAACGGTTGCATGAGGAAAAGGAAATATGCTTAAAGTAAATAAAATACACTCACCATCAACTATTAGTTTTTTAAGCTTTCCTCTTTGCTTTGGTGTGCGATGGAAGCCCTGCACCGCCATCTGCGCAGACACCTCTTGAAAAATCTTTTCATTTCGTTTCGTTCCATCTAGCTCGCGCTGCACTTGTTCATCGGCCAGCAAACAGAGAAATGCCTGAACTTCAGCATTCGACCACGGTTGTGCCATGATTATTTGTTTTACCTTATAAAATATTCCAAAATAAGCTCCTCCGATTTCTTGTTGTCTGTTATGCGGGTGAAAAAGAAAATGGTGGATTGTGATTTCCGTGGAAGACTGAATCTCCGCCCTCCACCAATGAATACGCCCCCTGACCAATCAGTGACCTACAGTGCGCTGATGTCACAACTAGACCCTAAAAGAACCAGACCTGGGACCTCAGTGATTTAGGTCCCAAAAATGGGGTGGGTTCCACCGTTAAAGGCATTGTTGATAAATCCTGCAATCGGCCACAACTAGTTACATAGGAGTACCAAAAAGACCCGTGGATAAGGGGCTTTAGAGGCCTGTATTAGACATGAATGGGAGAGCATTCCTATTTTTAAACTGGAGAAACTGGTCTCCTCTGTCCCCAGACGTCTGTTGAGTGTTGTAAGAAGAAGGGGGATGCCACACAGTGGTAAAAATGGACTTGTCCCAACTTTTTGGGGATTTGTTGACGCCATGAAATTTGGAAACAACAGATTTTTCACTTAAAATGAAACATTCTCTCAGTTTAAACTTTTGATCTGTGATTTGTGTTCTATTCTGAATAAAATATTAGATGTTGGCACCTCCACATCATTGCATTCAGTTTTTACTCACAATTTATTTAGTGTCCCAACTTTTTTGGAATCCGGTTTGTATGTATATTAATTAATACGCAGTACTTTTGTGTTTTTTATGTTTTTAAATTTTATGAAACACAAACCTTTAAGATTTAATGACAAATTTAAACAGAACTTTTTCATATCTACAGCTGATTGTGAAAACAGTTTCAGTGATTACAGCACAGTGGAATATGTTTTGCAATTTTAACATGAACCTTGTGCATATTTGTACATAATAAAAATCAGCGTTTCCCCTACCATTAGAAAAGTGGGGTGCCCCAACCCATCAACAGAACTGAGCACGCCGCCTACCAATCCGAACTTTATTGTAAATATCTATACTAAAATGGAAAATAGATGGGTTTAAAGCTGGAAGGGGAGGCAAAAAGTTTTAGGATTTGGGATTAGGTTTACAAGTTACAGCTCATGAGTTACTCCATTAGAGCATCTCTGACTGAGCATATTGTTCAATAAAGCCAATAAATCCTCCATTTTGGCTGAGTAACTTTTCAGGTTTTTCTTCTTAGCATGTTTAGTGGTGTCTAGTAAATAGCTTAAGCAACCACTACCGCCACCAGCTGGTAAGGCGAGTTGGATTCTGGACACGTGCAGAGAATGTGCAGAGAATGTGTGCGATTGCACAGGCGCGCAGCTTAGAGGGAACAGATGTTAACTGAATGTGTGAGGATGGGGAGGTATTAAGGATGTGCAAATATATTTATATAAATCTGGAGGTTGCAAGGTTGTTTATGAATATATAAGGAGAAAAACATTTTGCATTTTTATTGTATCTAGATTTTTAAATTGTTTGTATTTTAATGTATAGATTTTATTATATTAATTTGGAGGTTGTAAGGTTGAGTACATGTATATGTAGGCAGGAATATGTAGGTACTCTTACTGTATTTAGATTGATCGATTGTATGCATTTTAATGCGTAGAAATCCCCAACCAGGGACTGGAGTTGCGAATTAGCAATAGCTATATATATACTCTTTGTGCAACACATCAGTCACAGACTTGTTCTGTTCTATGTTTGTGTGCATTGTCCCGGTCAAATAAACTAATGGTAATAATAATAATATTGGATCATTTTCCTCAATAAATAAATGACCATGTATAATATTTTTGTCTCAATTGTTTAACTGGGTTCTCTTTACCTACTTTTAGGACTTCTGTGAAAATCTGATGATGTTTTAGGTCATATTTATGCAGAAATATAAAAAATTATAAAGGCTTCACAAACTTTTAAGCACCCCTGTAAATACTGACGTCCTCCAGATTTTTGATTTCTGGTACTTCTTTAAACAGAAATGCAAACAGAAGTTGCACCTGATGTTTCAAGAAGGATCTGCAAACTCCATCTGTTGTGCTTACAAACCAAACAATTTGTGCTTTTGAATGATGCTGAAACTGTTTTTTTATCGTTTTGACTAAAATTAGGTACAAGAAATGCTATTCAAACTTGGAGAAATGAAACATTTTTCACATTTTATTTGGTTTGGTCATTTGTCTCTACAAACCTGCCTAAAGTGACCAAAAGGTTTTTTGATTCCACTGCTTGTGCTTTAGTAGTTAAAATGATTCCACTGCTTGTGCTTTAGTAGTTAAAATAAGTGAAATGTTGGTGTGCAGCAAGCATAACCTTAAAAAAGAATTGAGACTGGTTTGGTGGAAAATCCCACCGGGAAATGAAAATTACCTTTAGGAACTCTGTGATGCACTCAGCAAGATTTTTGTGGCCCTGAATGTTCAGCTCCAACTCATAGAACCGGGATGGACGTGCAGAAGATCGTCCACACTGATTACATCTGAAAAATAGTCAAACCAAAACAAATTACATTAAATTTGTTGATAATGTTTAACAGATTTGAAAACAGGAGTACTGCATAAGACACATTATGCATCCATCGAAAAAATCTTTACTGCACTACCGCAATCTTGAGCAACCCTTTTTTTTTAATTCATAAATTGTGACTCTGGAATGACACAAAAATAAATAAATAAATTGCAGGCTGTTGCTTTTCTTGTTTAACCTTATTTACTAATGTTGTTTTTGTCATATCAGAGAGTCAGAGTCAGATTTTCTTTATTGTCATTCGCACCTCATGTGGTACATGTGGTGGAGCGAAATTATGTACACGGGGTCCCAGTTACATCCAACAATAAAATGAATAAGAAAAACAGTAATAACATCTAAGATATGAACTAAGAAAAACATCAACTAAATATACACTAAGCACTCATAACATAAAACATTGAACATCAGCACAAACATGAACATGAGTCTGTGAGCAGATGTGCACGCATGAACACATCAACATTGAAACAGATCAGCAGCAACATGAAACAGATCAGCAGCAGCAGCAACAATATGCAGGTTAACACAAGGTCAACAATACAATGAAATGATCAGGATGAGAAGAACCAATTCGACTCGCTAAAAACAACAAAAACAAACAAACAAGAAATACTGAAGCATGTAATAAGGGTACCAAAAAGTGAAAAAGAAATATATTTACAAGGTCCAAAATAAATATGATAAAAGGAAGGCAAGGGAAGAGAAAGGAAGTCTGAGATCATCATCATTGTATGTTTCCATACAATGGCGAAATTAGTTCTCTGCATTTAACCCATCACACCTGAGATACACCCAGTGGGCAGCTATGGAAGCGCCCGGGGAGCAATTGGGGATTAGTTGCAGTGGCAGCTCATCAACAGAGGACACACGGGCGCCACTCACCATTTTACATTGAACACTTTAAAAAAATTAAATAAAAATGAAATCATAAAATAAAAATGTTTCAAAATATATGTACTTTTTTTGTTGTGTAAGATAAATAACTTATAGTTAATGATGTATTAAGTTGTGTCTTTCAAAACCGTTGTGTGATTGTTGACGTATTTCCGGACCCTGGGGGAGCAAAAATCTAGTCCATAGACTCTTGTTAAAAATTGCACATGCACAGTTATTCCGATTCGATAGAAGAGATAGGGAGAATCTTGGCACACCACTCTAGCGCCCTTAACCGGCGCAGCATATGGATGGAGCTTCCGGTGCCACTGTCCCGGTAAGATTTATTAATTTTTTTTTTTTTATTTGTCCCAGAAAAAAATTGTGCAGTGACACTCACTAGTCACAACTGTTACTAGACTATGTTTGAAATATTATTTAGCTGTCAGCAGTGCATTTTAAAGAGGCGACGCATTAATTTTAATCAGGCAGATAATTGGTCGACTACGACCCATTGAATTTGGCGCTGGTTGTGGACTGGAGGCGATGTGAAAAATTCGAATGGCAGTCATTAATGTGCCTTATTGAAAAATTATTTACACGTAGCTGTCGGTTCATTTAAAAGAGGTGCAGCAATCATTTTGATCTGGCAGATATGGAAGACCTTTGTTTTCAGGTCTGTTCTGTTTATGGGTTTGTTTATGCTAGCAGGGTCCTCCTGTGAGGAGAGGACTGGAGCTGACCACACCACCACCTCAAGAGACATAAAAAATTCTAATGGCAGTAATCCTCATGTGCCTGCTTGCCTTATTTACTGTTTACACAGGTAAGGAATGAGTTAATAAAGCGCGCAGACATGAGCATGACTTAGCGAACCTATTAGTCTGTGATGCGTGTGTGTGCGGTAGCACGGAGCGATAACTCGTCAGTATGAGAGCTGTACTGTGAACGGTGCAGAGTTTGTGAGGCTGCTGGAGGATGATAGTTTCAGCTTCTTTCTGAATTACTGTAATTGTTCCATCTAATCGTGCTTCATGGACATTCTCTACAGCCAGTTCCAGAAGCAGACCATTGACTCAGTCTGTGTTCAGGGAGCAGCAGTTAGCAGACAACATACAAAAATTCAGGTAATTAAATTCTATGTTGTGCTGTTTAAATATTACTATTCAATTAAGTTTATTTCTATAGCTCCAAGTCACAACAGAAGTCATCTCAGGGCACTGAACAGAAACATTATAATATAAAAAATAAGTTAACAGAAACATTCATGTATAAAATAATAATTGAACATTATTTATCTGAGGAGCAGCTTTGAGTTTAACTCCATCGCAGAACTCTCATCTTGAACAAGCATGAAGGCGACAGTGGAAAGAAAAACTCCCTCATGAGGAAGAAACCTTTAGCAGAACCAGGATCAGGACAAGAGGACCATCTGCTTCGACCAGCTGGGTTTGGTAAGAACAGATACACAATGGCAGGTCAAAAATCATGTTAACATAGAATTGGTTCAAATGAAAAATATTTAATTTTAACAATTAATTTAAGAAATTAGGTCAATTTGTCCTTTAGTAGTCTAAGCTTAAGGAAGCATAATAAGCCAACCCTAACTAAAGGATTTGACAAAAAGTAAAGTCTTAAGCCCAGTCTTAAAACTGGATAATGTGTCAGTCTCACAGACAGAATCTGGAAGTTGGTTCCACAAGAGAGGAGCCTGATAACTGAAAGTTCTTCCTCCCATTCTGCTCTTGAAAACTAGGAACCGTGAGTAAACCTGCAGTCTGAGAGCAAAGTACTCTGTTAGGAAAATATGGAACAATAAGATCTGTAATATAAGATGGAGCCAGGTTGTTGAGAGCTTTGTAGGTTAGAAGAAATATTTTGAATTCTATTCTGGATTTGACAGGGAGCCAATGGAGAGAAGCTAAAACTGGAGAGATATGATCTCTCCCAGTAACTCCAGTTAAGACTCTGGCAGCAGCATTTTGGATCAACTGAAGACGTTTTAAAGAAGTATTTGGACACCCAGATAATAAACCATTGCAATGGTCCAGTCTAGACGTGACAAATGCATGATCCAGTTTTTCTGCATCAATTTTAGATAGGAATGGGGTCGATCTGATCCGGTATCGGATTCCGATACCAGCAAAACGGACGTGCCAGATTTTTCTGATCCAACCTGCAGAGATTTCCGATCCATGATACATATCTGTGTCTGCTGAAACATCTCCACATGCGATTCCCTGCGGCTGCTCTGCAAGTTGGCTTCCAACTATGGAATGGATTTCCAGAGGCGTGTCTCATGAAACCCAGAGTAATAAGACCCGTGACACATTCAGGAAATCCATTTCACAGTTTGCAGCCACATAAAATGGCTGGCCTTTCCTGACGTTGCACGTTCGTGGAAAGACGTAATGTGTCACTTCCTGTTTCTCTGCTGAAGCTCGAGTGAATTGTTTGCTCAAGTTGTCTTTTGTTTTCCGGATTTATGTCATTTGCACAGTTTTTCCATTCTAGTTCACAAACACACTTAGTACAGTTGTTTTTCTACTGTTCGATAGTGCTTTAAACACCTATTATCAATCAACACTTCTCGGTTTTTGTTGATGTTTTGGGATATGCTAGCTCTTGCTAGCTTTAGCTTAGCAGGGCTTCTGCTTCTCTCCCAGTTTTCTCTTGCTCCATGTGTCAAATGTCTAGCTACTCCTCTGCCTCCTTTAGTGGTACTCATACATGTAACAAATGTAGTCTTATGGTAGCTTTGGAGGAGAGGCTGTCTGAACTGGAAGCTCGGCTCAGCGCTGTAGAAAAACCAGTAGCTAGTCAGGTCCCCTTAGACAGCACAGAACCACAGAGACTAGCTCCCGTTAGCGGTCCTCCAGCAGACCCCGAGCAGACGGGACCACAGGCCGGCTAGGTGACGGTCCGGAGGAAGCACAGTGCTAAGGCTAAGCCCCCAGTTCACCACCAAACCAGTCACGTTTCTAATTGATTTTCCTCTCTCAGTGACACACCCACTGAGAAGCAGACCCTGGTTACTGGCAGCTCCATAGTCAGAAACGTGGCTTTAGGGACTCCAGCGGCCATAGTTAAATGCATTCTGGGGGCCAGATCAGGCAACAGAATCTTATCTGAAACTGCTGACTAAGGCTAAGGCTAAATACAGTAAGACTGTTATTCAAGACGAAGGTAATGACACCCGGTTACGCCAATCGGAGGTCACAAAAATTAATGTTGCTTTGGTGTGTGACTTTGCTAAAACCATGTCAGACTCCGTAGTTTTCTTTGGCCACCTCCCCAACCTGACCAGCGATGACATGTTTAGTCGTATGTCGTTGTTTAACCGCTGGGTGTCCAGGTGTTGTTCTGACAACGACGTGAGCTGCATAGATAACTGGAGTTCTTTCTGGGGAAAACCTGGTCTGATGCGGAGAGATGGCATCCATCCCACTTTGGACGGAGCCGCTCTTCTTTCTAGAAATATGGCTGATTTTGTTTATCCCCTAAATTATTGACAGCCCAGGGTCCAGTCCAGGAAGCAGAGTTGTAGTCCTCCACACCTCTCTGCTGCTTCTTCCCTGTTACCCACCCACACCCCCATTGAAACAGTGTCAAATCGCCCACGGCTCAAATTAAATAAACCAAAAATCAGCTCTAAAAATATAAACCATAAAAATCTGATTAAAATAAACACAGTGACTTTATCAGAACAAAATCATAAAATCATTAAATTTGGATTATTGAACATCAGATATCTTTCAAAGTCCATGCTCAATAATCAAGGTATACAATCCAACAATTTTCAGTCAGGTCATCTGGACAGTTTTTTTTTTGTTTTCTTTTTGTGCTGAAACATTTCATCTTCGATCCAGAAGGCTTCATGAGTCAAGGAAACACGCAACACAAAACTGATTCTTCCGCCAACAGCTTACTCTAAAATAGAACAAACCAGTTATATTAGTGCTAAGATGGTCTCTTTGGCACACCCACGCTTCCGGTGCTGGCCCACTCCCAGGTTATCTGGACAGTTTATTTTCTTTTTGCATACCAGGATTATTGAGCATGGACTTTGTTGGTTTT